AGAACAAGAGTTAATAATCTGTCTTGTCTTCTCCCAACTTGTGACAAAAAATTTATTCAGCGACATATTCCTGTTTTTCAGAAAAGTCTTTAATAATTTTTTCTACCAGCTGAAAGAACTTAATGTCGGGACTAATCTTTTACCAGACCAAATTTTTATCATCAAAATCAAAAAATGAGTCGTTTAGCAGACCAATGTAATAAAACTGATCCATAATTGATTGACAGACGTAAAAACACGCTCACTTTTTGGTCAATCTTACCTATATTAAACGATTTGTCAACAAAACTGCAAACTTCAGAAACATAATAGTCTAATTTAGCGGCAAAACACAAAGTTTACGCGCACAATAACACTCGTATCGCATGTTTGCGCAGCGGAGCAAGCAATCGCTAGTCGCCAATACAGTGCCGAAAATTAAGGATAATTGAAGTATTTGAGTTCTGTTTGCAAATTGCTGACAATTTTTTGTTGGAGCAAAACCGAGAAGAAAATTCAAGTTAAATGTTTGTTCAGAAATAATTAAGGCGCCGCGCTTGGGGAATTTTTGTTTGTTCAAAAGCGGCATCAATTAATGTGACCATTTTTGATCACTTCCAATGACTTGATTTGATTTACTTGTCACTGATTTGGAATCAGTAAAAACAGTTTTCGAAATTTATTTCGGAACTGTTGAACTACAATTTTTTTGGCATTGTTGTAGATCGGCACTGTTGTACTGACCCGTTTTAAATTAGCGGTCTGACTTGCTAATTTTTCTGAGTCTGCTAAAAAGGTTGGTCTGCTAACCGGTCTGCTAAAATCCTTAGCACCGTTATTGTCGTTTGCTGAAGTATTAAATTATTCTTCACTTGTGATCGTTTTGTTAAATTTCGATATGTTTACAAGTTATGATTTGTCATGGTGGGTATTCACAAGCACCAAAAAGAAAAGTCAGTCCCATTTGTTCTAGAATAAAAAGTCAAAATTTGAGTTATAAAAAAAAACAAATCAATTGACCAAAGACTACTAAGCCGACTATTTCAAGCTTTTGGCTTAAAGTCACCTGATAGCGCGCTATGTGCGCATCGCCGCTTTGCGGCGATTAACGGCTTTGAATTTTTTATAGAGTCAACTCCGCGGTTTAGTTTTCTGCTGTTTGAACAGTAGTTATTTAATTTATTAATTCTCCCTATTGCAATTCAACGAATCAGAAAATGAATTAAATAATTTTGGTATAGATGGCATCAGTTTTTTATTTTGGAACAATGGGACTTCACTATTTGCCATGATTGACCAAATTGAGATAAGTAAAACGCGCAAAAATTCCAACTCTTGATATCAAGAAGCAAATGAGGCGAATTAGTTTACCTCAGAAATCATTCAAAATTGAACTGAGGCACGCTAATTGGACCAAACTTAGTGATAATACATGCATCATTTATCACGTTTTAGCATACTTTGGTTGTGGGGGAATAATTTTTCTTTTTCAGAATTAATTTTAGAAAATTGAAGTTGCAACTTAAAAACGCAGTTGAAACATTCGAGGTTTGACTGAAATTTGGATTGAAGGTGAAAGTTATGAAAGACAGCAAGGCCCAAAAAAGATCGAAGGCGATTCAATCTCAAAAAATACTCATCTACTCGTTTAAGGATTTTCGCATGACATCTATGTCGAGGAAAAATTTCAAATTTTCAGTCAGACAGTATTTTGAGAAAAATAGTTTTTCTGTCCAATGCGCCACTGATCGACTGTAGACTTGCTGTGCGCAAAATTAACTGCGCAGCCGGGAACTTGTTTCTGTCGATTTCATAACTCTAACAACCGTCTCAAGCACTAAGATTTTTAAATATTTTTAACGAAGTAGATCAAGAAAAATTTGACGAAACGGACCCGTTTATGAAAAGCGGCCAAATAAAATCCAATTTTCAAATCCAAAAAAATTACACTCTAGACAGGAATTTTGTTTCAATTAAATATTTCTTAACATCTATTAAAATACTTTTTTTTCAAAATTTCAAATTGTACTTTTTGACAGTCGGGCGAGAAGTCAAATTTTTTATCATTAGTTCCATTCATGGAAACATTCAATCGCGGTGAAATAACAATCTGAAACATCTGGGAACATAACTCGGAGGTTAATTCTTGAAGCATGTTGAATGATTTTTGATGCATTGATCAAGACATGTTCAGTTTCAAATTCAGCTGTTGAATATAAAAATGACCAGATGCAACGAAAATCATTTGAGAATCGGGTGTTTTACGCGTTGAAAGTAAACTTCAGGAAAACCAACTAATTGAAATTACAATAAAGTGTTTTCAAAATAACAATTAAAAATTAAGCTAAACGCAAGAAAATAATTTTTGCGATAATTGATTGAATTGAATTCCCCGCCCCTGTTTCTCAAGTTTGGAATAATTTTTAAACAATTGCTTTGCTTTTCTTCGTAAGTGCATTCATACAAAAGTGCATCCATGTTTTGTTAGTACTGAACTTAGCGCTGAATAGATTTATTAGTTATACTTAAATAAATAAAGATGGGTATGCCATTTCACTGTGTATTTTGATTTGTTTTATCTGGACTTTTTTTTTACTGAAGGGGATATAATGTGAGGTTAGAAATATTTTTCCAATAGTTTGATAATTTGATCCTCTTTTAAATGGTTAATGATAGCGTAAATAGCGCTAATATTCTGCGCTTCATAGTTTGTTGATAGATATGCTTTATGGTTTGTTGATCCGAGGTGCTAGTGGAAAGGAACTAGCTAGGGCGTATATTATTTTTCTGAAACTTTTTTCATGCCAATTTTGACCCTTTCAAGAAAAGTTAATTAAGTTGAAATGTAGTGTCATATCAAAGCTTTATTATTTGTTGCTTTCCGTTTATCTTTAAATTGAAGTTCTTAATGCTAAGTTTTACAATTGTTCCAACTAGAGTTACAATGATATCAGGCTTATTTTTTAAAAAATTTTCTCGCTTTTTTTCAGGAAACAAATAGCAGGAATTTTCTTGCAGGAATTGTGAAAAGTTATAAGCTTTTCAATATGGACTTTCCATAAAGTTTTTTTGTTTCTGAACGTTTTTGATGTAATTGATTCGGTTGATTGGAACCCTCTGTGCTAAATGTCTTGTACAGCAACTGGCTGAGATATAATTTGTGACTATTTAACAGTTTTTGTTGATTTTTTTGATCCCACAAACAAAACAAAAGAGGAAAAAATTCAAAATTTTGTTTGGTTTATTTTTTCTCTTAAGACTGGAGACAATTTTTGATCTATTAACTAGCCATTTTTAAAGGAAAAATTCAAATCCTATAAAAACGGTAATATCTGAGAATAGTTTTAAAAAAACGACGGCTAGTGATTGTATCATAAATTTTCATAATTTCATGTTAATTCTTGGCACGTTAAATTTTAACCTCCAGAAATGGGCGGAGTGGTACACTCAGCTGCGCACACATTAAAACAAATTGAAAGGCTGAAATGAAACACGAAACAGTTTTTAGAAAAATTGTCGAAGTTTTCAGAAAAACTTTAACCCAACATCGATCGAGATTGATATTAACCGAACACGCATGAACATAAAAGCCTCCATCGAGTACTTTGTGATATTAGTGATAAAAAGAATGTAATGATATATTCTTATCTTTTTTAAGCGGCCTGACTAAAAATGCTTCGCTTTCATTTATACCATAGCGGAGAAAAATGCTTCGAATTCATACAATTCTCTAGACTATAAAATGTACGAAAATAGCACGAGAAGCATTTTTTCCAGTAGTAATCAAAAAGGCTATCAGGATTGAAAGCTGTTTAAAACACTTTGCATAGGAAATGAACTGAATTGTTCAAGATTTGTCTTACACAAACGAGATAATGGAAGTATCGAAGTTTTGAGTTTTGGAAAAAAAATTATCGAAGAAACTTTAAAATTTGAAAATATAATTATTTAGGCGTTGAATCATGTTCCATTCAAATACAGTTCCATTCAAAGGTACAGTTGTTTTGAAAGTTTTCGAATAAACTATCCCATGACATGGTTTTGCACACAAAAAATCAAAACATACACTTAAAAAATTTCGAGTACAAAATACGTTTTGTAGATAAAAAGAAAAACACGTTTTTTTTCGAGCAATTTCAAAATCATATCGAGTCATCAAAAAAATGCTAGTCATACTTTTTCTATATATGGAATTTGTATGGTTAATGTTTTTCATAAATTTTTGTTTTGTTTTTGACGATATTCCGACCGATTTTCAATACACCAAGTTTATATGTTTTTAGTTTATACACCTCGAACTGTATGATTAAAGTTACTGGTCTATGGAGGTCGATTGGCGTGAAAAGAGAAGTGGACGTCTCGTTCCCCCTACTCCCTAGATAACTCCCTGAAAGTGTGGAATATATATGCTTTGGGTGGTTTTGTTTATTCAGACCGATTTGCTGCATAAAGAGAGTGATCCCTTGATGTCCGCGTGATATCGGAAATGGTATGCACACCACTATGCTAACCTGACTCTATGGTCTCTCTGAATCGAGTCTAAGTCTCGTCTCGTGTTACACTATTCAGTATTACGAAATCGTTCCAAACTGAATTGATGCAAGCTAATTAGTCGTCCTTATTCCACATTAAGTCAAAATTTGTTTTTCCGGAAACTATTCTAGAAAATTAAAGGGCAGCCGAAACATTCAGAGCTTTGCCCTAATTTCTGAGCAGTCATTTCTCTGATATGAGCAAAAAAAAAGAAAAAAAATCCTTATTTTTCCTCTCTTTCTTTGCTAGGTTTTCATGCGCCTTTTGCGTATTGAACTCCACGCTACTTTCACTGTAAAGCGTTTTATCCGTCGAAAGTAATCGAAGAGACTGATACGGGAAACGGGAGGGGGCAACATTTTCAGTTTAAACTTGCATTGATGCGAGTTTTCTTGAAACGATTTTTCAAGAGAGCGTTAAGCAAAAGGATGAGCTGTTTCTGATAAATGAGACTGACGAATAATTGAAAATGTCATTTGTTGCAACAGGGCTCAGGCAGTTGAATCAAATCAGGCAGACAACGGAGGCATTCATGATGTGTAAGTACTGAGGACTGCTGTTATGAGCGAAGGTCAGAATCGTAAAGAAAATATCAGTAATAAAAAAAATATTCTAATTAGCTTGAAACTTTCAAATTTCAGAGTATTTGGTTCAGTTAGGCTGAAAACACATTGTGAAAACATACTTGTCTGTTCTGCCCGAGAATAACCATCTAAATTGACGAATAAAGTGCCTATCATTATATTTTTAGGCCGGACGCGGGGTATGTACCTTCGGAAATCTACAAAAATCCTCCCAACGGGCCGAGCAGCGCCAATAGCGAAACACTTGGCAACCACGGTCTAACACTAGAGGGCGGCTTTCAACGGAGTTCTTTTAACTCGGGTCGTGAACCCCACCCACAGTAACTACCGTCCATTTGAATCGGGCCATTCGGAATAAACTTGGTCCATTCGAATTAAATTGATTCTGATTATAATGATTATCATAAATACAGCAGATATCAACATTATAGAGAATCATGTAAACAACAGGTTTGGATCAGAATTTAGTTAGTTTGAAATTTGATTATAGCGAAACTGGACTCATGTTGGTTACAAAAGCTTTGAAAATATATAAAATGACATTGTTTTTGAGAACAAGAGTTAATAATCTGTCTTGTCTTCTCCCAACTTGTGACAAAAAATTTATTCAGCGACATATTCCTGTTTTTCAGAAAAGTCTTTAATAATTTTTTCTAACAGCTGAAAGAACTTAATGTCGGGACTAATCTTTTACCAGACCAAATTTTTATCATCAAAATCAAAAAATGAGTCGTTTAGCAGACCAATGTAATAAAACTGATCCATAATTGGTTGACAGACGTAAGAACACGCTCACTTTTTGGTCAACCTTTCCTATATCAAACGATTTGTCAACAGAACTGCAAACTACAGAACCATAATAGTCTAATTTAGCGGCAAAACACAAAGTTTACGCGCGCAATAACACTCGTATCGCATGTTTGCGCAGCCGAGCATGCAATCGCTAGTCACCAATACAGTGCCAAGAATTAAAGATATTTGATGTATTTCAGTTCTGTTTGCAAATTGTTGACAATTTTCTTGAATACCGTTTTGATTTTGAGCAAAACCGAGAAGAAAATTCAAACTTGTTCAGAAATAATTAAGACGCCTTGGGGAATTTTTGTTTGTTCAAAAGCGGCATCAATTAATGTGACCATTTTTGATTTTCAACTTCCAATGACTTGAAGCATTTCTTTCACGAACTACATTTTCTTTTTTGGCCCTGTTGTAGGTCGGCACTGTTGTTCTGCCCCGTTTTAAGTTAGTGGTCTGACTTGCTTTTTTCTCTGAGTCTGCTAAAAGGTTGGTCTGCTAACCGGTCTGCTAAAATCCTTAGCACCGTTAATGCCGTTAATGCCGTTTGCTGAACTATTAAATTATTCTACTCTTGTGCTCATTTTGTTAAATTTCGACATGTTTACAAGTTATGATTTGCCGTGGTGGGTATTCACAAGTACCAAAATGAAAAGTCAGTCCCATTTGTACTAAAATAAAAAATCAAAAATTGAGTTATAAAAAAATAAATCATTTGACCAAAGGCTACTAAGCCGACTATTTCAAGCTTTTGGCTTTAAGTCACCAATAGGCGCGCTATGCGCGCATCGCCGTTTTGCCGCGATAAACGGCTTTGAATTTTTTATAGAGTCCCACTGTCTATTGGGCAGCTTGCTACACTTTGGCCGGCTGAGGTGGTCACTATTCCGCGGTTTAGTTTTCTGCTAATTGAACAGTAGTAAATTAACTTATTTATTCTTTCTATTACAATTCAACGAATCAGAAAATGAATTGAGTAAGTTTGGTACAAATGAGACCAGTTTTTATTTTGGAACAAAGGGACTTCACTATTTGCCATGATTGACCAAATTGAGATAAATAAAACGTGCAAAATTTCCAACTCTTGATATCGTGAAGCAAATGAGGCGAATTAATTTGCCTCAGACATCATTCAAAATTGAACCGAGACACGCTAATTGGACCAAACTTAGTGATAATGCATGCATCTTTTATCGCGTTTTAGCATAATTTGAGTGTAGGGGAATAGTTTTTCCTATAATGAATTATTTTTAGAAAATTGAAGTTGCAACTTAAAAATGCAGTTGAAACATTCGAGGCTTGACTCAAATTTGGATTGAAGGTGAAAGTTATGAAATACAGCAAGGCCCAAGAAAGATCTAAGGCGATTCAATATCAAAAATACTCATCTACTCGTTTAAGGATTTTTGCATGACATCTATGTTTGGGGGAAAAAATTTCAAATTTTCAGCGAGACAGAATTTTGAAAAAATTAGTTTTTCTGTTCAATGCCCCACTGATTGACTGTAGATTTGCTGTCCGCAAAACTAACTGCGCAGCCGGAAACTTGTTTCCGTCGATTTCATAACACTAACAACGGTCTCAGGCACTAAGAATTTAAAAAATTTTGAACGAAATAGATCAAGAAAAATTTGACGAAACCGACCCGTTGATAAAAAACGGCCTAATAAAATCCAATTTTTAAATCCAAAAAATCACTTTCTAGAAAGGAATTTTGTTCCAATTAAATATTTCTTAACAACTATTAAAATACTTTTTTACATAATTTCAAATTGCGTACTTTTTGACAGTTATTCGGGCGAGAAGTCAAATTTTTTATCATTGGTTCCACTCATGGAAACATTCAATCGCGGGGAATCACAATCTTAAACATCTGGCAACATAACTCGGAGGTTAATTCTTGAAGCATGTTGAATGATTGTTGATGCATTGATCAAGACATGTTCAGTTTCAAATTCAGCTGTTGTAAACTTCACGAAAACCAACTAATTGAAATTCCAATAACGTGTTTTCAAAATAACAATAAAAAATTCAGCTAAACGCAAGAAGATAGTTTTTGCAATAATTGATTGCAACTTTTTTTTCAAGAATTTGGTAGAAGTATAATGCTGATTTAATATCCGGTCAAACGAACAAAATTGGAAACTTCAAAAGCATTTTCTCAAATTGGGTTGAAATTGATGTAAAATTGATTGGAAATGTGATCGGAATAAAGCAAGCTAAAAGTTTATCAAATTATCATGATGCAATTTGTTTTGCGAAATTCGGAACCAAAGTTCTATTCCACAAAT